AAGTACAGGCGGGAGGTATGGTGGATCTCTTCTGTAACGTCTCTGCGGCGGTGGCCCTTCCCCCGGACATGGCGCTGTCCATGGAATGGTGGGTGACCTCGTCACAGCAGTCTCCCGGCCAGTTGGTGGCCTCGATGTCCACGGACGGGTCGGTGTCCCTAGGAGAGCGATACACGGAAGGTGACACGGGGACCAGACACATTTCCCTGGAGAAGCTCTCTCCCTCCCCCGGCTCTTTCCGCCTGCGGATCTACTCTGCCCAGCCGGGGGATATCGGCGCCTACAGCTGTCGCGTCAAAGCCTTTGTGTCCTACCCGGGGCAGAGGCTGGAGGAGGTGTCCAGCAGAGTGTCGCAGAGCATCAACGTCCTGATGACCGTGCAGGGTAAGAGCCTGAAGGAGGTCCGGCCTCTAGACACCTTTCACCCCAACTCCCCGGCACCCTATAACGTCCCCTGTGTCATTCATTGCAGATATCTCTCTGAGCGTCCACGTGCATTTGGACTCCATCATGTTATACCGCGGCAACACCGCCTCCCTGCTCTGCAATATCACGGTGGAGACGCCACAGACGGTCCACATGGCGGTCAGCTGGTGGGTGGAGCTAGCCGGGGAGAAGCCCAACGAGAGAATGGGGAGACTGTTGGCCTCGGTGAATCGGCAGGGCGTGTCGGAGCCAGGAATGCGGATCTCGGGCCAGGACCTCAGCACGGATAAAGTGGGAGCCCAGTGCTACCGGCTGCGCTTGTACAACATCCAGGCGGAGGACGAAGGGCTGTACCACTGCGCCGTCACGGCCTGGATCCAGTACCCAGACCTCACGTGGTACAACGCGGCTTCCGCCAAGTCCAACAACATCAAAATGTTTCCCTACGCTCAGGGTAGGTGTTGTCTGTCTGACCGTTATCCCCTCCAACGCTTATTTATTCATCAATTCTCTTTATATAGCGCCGGCTCAGTCTGTGGCACCGTACAACGGCAGGTAAGTGTGCGGTCATTACAATATTGGAAGAACCGCTCCTATAGTGTCCATCACGGCCAATCAGATTCTCCCACGTGGGTCTAGAGAAGGAGCGCTCCTATAGTGTCCATCACGGCCAATCAGATTCTCCCACGTGGGTCTAGAGAAGGAGTGCTCCTATAGTGTCCATCACGGCCAATCAGATTCTCCCACGTGGGTCTAGAGAAGGAGTGCTCCTATAGTGTCCATCACGGCCAATCAGATTCTCCCACGTGGGTCTAGAGAAGGACCGCTCCTAAAGCGTCCATCACAGCCAATCAGATTCTCCCACGTGGGTCTAGAGAAGGACCGCTCCTAAAGCGTCCATCACAGCCAATCAGGTTCTCCCACATGGGTCTAGAGAAGGACCGCTCCTAAAGCGTCCATCACAGCCAATCAGGTTCTCCCACATGGGTCTAGAGAAGGAGCGCTCCTATAGTGTCCATAACATCTAGAGAAGGACCGCTCCTAAAGCGTCCATCACAGCCAATCAGATTCTCCCACGTGGGTCTAGAGAAGGACCGCTCCTAAAGCGTCCATCACAGCCAATCAGGTTCTCCCACATGGGTCTAGAGAAGGACCGCTCCTAAAGCGTCCATCACAGCCAATCAGGTTCTCCCACATGGGTCTAGAGAAGGAGCGCTCCTATAGTGTCCATCACAGCCAATCAGGTTCTCCCACATGGGTCTAGAGAAGGAGCGCTCCTATAGTGTCCATCACAGCCAATCAGGTTCTCCCACGTGGGTCTAGAGAAGGACCGCTCCTAAAGCGTCCATCACAGCCAATCAGGTTCTCCCACGTGGGTCTAGAGAAGGAGCGCTCCTATAGTGTCCATCACAGCCAATCAGGTTCTCCCTCTTGTTCGCGTCACAGTTTGGAAGAACAAAAGGCTGATTGGAGGAGGCAAGGACAGGTTTCCTGTTAAACCGTTGTATAGGACTGGCAGTGACAATAGCGGCAGGCGCAGTTTGGGAGACTCCTCCCCTTTTGCGGTCAGCTGTAGTAGTTCACCACTGATAATTCGCCATTTACCCCCCATAATGTCTCCTGTCTATATCTTACAGTGAAGGATTTGCTCTTCATCCCGATGATCGGCGGCGTGGCCAGCGCACTCTTCGTTGGTATCACCATCCTGGCCACCGTCACCTGCTGCTACATACGACAACTGCGCGTTCGTAAGAGGTGAGGGAGACGGCGCCGAGAGCGTGAAGGACTGAGATCTGACCGAACGCCCCTTGTACATTTCAATGTGGTTCTATGAAGAAAACACTGTAATGTGAACAGGATATTCTGCCCCCTCCCCCCGTCCTGGGACGCACGCACTTCCTAATTGGTCAATCCCAGAAGACGCCCTCGGACGGTAATCGCCGCTCTCATTATCCGATTTTCTGTTTTCATTGTCCGAAAATGGCGATATTGATGAAGATGGAAGCACAATGCACAGGCGTCTGGGTTCTGGTACTTCGCTCATCACGTCATCCTATGAACTGCGCTGAATGCCGCGCAGTCCGGTACCATGTGACCTTCACTGGTTAATTTAAAGGGCCAGAAATAAATCACCAGCCGCGTTATGTATAACAAGATTTGCCAACATTCAGGAAAAATGAACATTTCAGAGACTTCTAAAGAAGATGGATAATGAAGGAAGACAATTCCCAGCACACGGCTCACTTCCTGTTATTCTGCAGAGGAATACGGAGAGCCGTTCCTGACTTGACTGAAAATGAGGCCACAGAGACACCCCGATATCTCCCCTCCTATGTAGCTGAGGGAGTACCCCCTTTCCCGCTTCTCACTGCACCCCTCGCCCCTCCTCTCTCTCTGCCTCCTCTCTTCTCTCCCCCTGCCCCCCACCCTCTATTCTCCCTCCCTCTATTCTCCCTCTGCCCCCTTCTTTTTATC